GTCTTCTTTGGTGAAGTGTCTGTTCATTTCCTTTGCCCATTTTTTAATAGGATTATTTGTCTTTTTGTTGTAGAGGTGTTGGATTTTCTTGTAGATTATGAGATTAGACCTTTGTCTGACTGTCTTGAGGTCTTGATTTGCATTTCTCTAATGAATAATGACGTTGACCATCTTTCATGTGTCTGTTGATCTCACTACCTTTTATGTTTATCAAATAAAATGATAAGCTACAAAGGAACAAAGACGGTAACAGTCAACATTAGTTGGTCTATTAATGGTCAGAATGATACATGTATAACAGAATATCAGGGATGCCAAAAATAGACTGTATACACAATCATTCAAAAGTCTTTTTTTTAAGATCTACTCAGTGCACAGCAGTATTTTACTAGTATGTCTTCAATAAGATCAGTTCTGGGTATGAGGTAGCCATCTCATAGGGATATATGCTATCCTCTTAGCATAAAATTCTATATTCCCATCCTTTATTTTCCTGAGAAGGGCTATGTCTAAGGAGGATTTTAGAACAGATTGCTCTTTTTTTTTTTTTTTTTTTAATGAAAGTCATCCAGGTGGTGGTTGATTCAGGAGTATTTATGAAAATGTCTGTGATCCTCCTGGGGGGCAGTGCACTTCAAGGAATACTTCAAGGAAGGCCAAGGCCACTTTTCCAGGCACCGGTTCATGGATACACTGAGGATAAGTCAGGGGCTGAATGCCTCACTTTTCCCATTTTGAGTCCCAACATCTAGAAGCAATTGGGCCGATCCAAGCCAACGAGGTCCTTAATAAGCTCTTTTGAAAGAAGAACCTTAGCATCATTTACCACAGTGTCAAGGAAATAATTTTGCAAATAGAAGGTCTTTCTAAAGTAGAGACCAGTGGCAAGAAGGCCACCACTAATAGAGCAGACTTTCTCCACAAATTTCAAAAGTTTTTCCCCTAACTTCTCATCATCCGTCTCAACTAACAACAAATGTGGAGACTTAATTTTTGCTTTGAGCTCCTCTACCGACAAGTCCCATTTCTTGGCCATGTTTTCCAGAGATGCATCATCCAGCCCAAAGTAAGACCTATAGACAGTTAAGGTCTTCTCCAGCTTCTCCATATCATTATCACTGATGAATCCCATGAAAGGGATAGTGGCAGTTGTTCCAGCCTTCAGGGCCTCCAGCCAGATCTTCTGCTTCAGGAAATCCCTCTTCCGGTCAATGGCGGCATCGGTAACACTGGGCAGGCACTGCATGAAGATGTAGCGCTTGTGAGCTGGGAGCTCCTTCAGAAGGGTCGTTTCTAGGTTTGGGAAATCATAGGCAAACTTATTAAGGTTGGAGATTAAGAATACTCGAGGGTCCTCTAATTTGGCCTCCTGCAGATGTTTCAGACAGTCATCTCGAATCTCTTCTAGAACTTTATCCTTACAGAAGGTGTTGGGATGACTCATTTTTTTATTATATAAATCGCTGTCCACCTTGGCTCGAACAAAGTAGAAATTTTTCTTCATTTTTTTAATGGCTTTGGCCAGTTCTAAATCATTTTCTTTGAAGCGTGTAGCACAGATGATAAAGAAGAAGTCATACGTATTAAATTCCATTTCTTTCAGATACTTCCTTGGCTGGAATTTAGTGGTCCCAATGCCAGGCAGATCCCATATTGTTACTTTGGGAAACTTTGGATGTTTATACCCGGCTTTCTCCGAGGTTGTCTCCACCACTCCAACATTAGCCGCATCTACTTCTTCATGCCCAATCCCCCGCAGGGCATTGATGAAACTAGATTTTCCTGACCCAGACTCACCTGTCACAGCAATATGCAGTGGGGCATTCTCGATGTCTTTCAGTGCTTCACTAATGACAGAAGCTGCCCCCTGAACATCCCCTTTCTCCAGATTTGATTTAATCAAAGTGATAGTTTCAGGAGAGAGGATTTTGCTTTCCATCTTGTAGTCCTTAAAAAAGTTCTCAAAGCTGGAGGCCAAATCATGAGCCTTTGTGTCGGAGCATACAGAAGAAGATGACTGACCCATTGTTAACAGTAAAGGACACTAGAGGGAGGAGAGAGGAGGAAAGTACAAAGAGGTTAGTATACCAAGGGGAGGTCTTAAGGTTTGCTGTTATGGAAAAGCAGAACTTCAGCACTCATCCCGTTATTATAGCCAAGGGCATCTCCCCTTTTTGTTCACAGGCTTTGTCGGGAACCTTGGAGTGGATATAAAGTTCACATTGCTGAGGCTGCACCTTACCCTTGGAATGCCCTCCTCCTTTAAGAGACTCTCACTGGACTCCAAGCAAGATGGTAGTGTGAACTTCCATGCGTCCATCTACTCACAAAAACCTCTTCAAAAAAAAAAAAAACAAGCAGAAACTGACAGAACAAACTTTGTCAGAACCCTGGAGACTAGTCAAAGGATTAAGCAAATAAGCGAACTAACTGAATTAAAAAAAAAAAAAAACTAATTTTTTTTTTAAAGTGGCATGAAACGTTAGAAAAGCTTTGATTTTTATGTGTGCTGCACTCCACCACCTCCCTGGCTTGGCATGGATATCTTAAAGCCATGGCAGCCCATACTCCCACAGAGGGAGGCTGATTTCTGGCTCCAGAGAGAGCAAAACAAGACTTTGTTCACAAATTATGGAGTGTATCTGTTCTGACCTGTTTGGGGATGTCTGACGAACTGAAGGAAGGTGCTCATCTCTGTTTGGACTGCCTCAGAGCTCACATGAAGCAGAGGATCAAGGGACAATGCTGGAAGTCTGTAACAACCTGTAGTCACCCAGGGTAAAGATTGCCATTAAGGCATCCAATACCAGAAGGAGAAGCCAGAGAAAGAGATTCCAGAAACTGGGACTTTTGGAAGCACTGGGTATATGGGGAATTGATAAAACCATATGAATGTCCAGGGTTGGAAACATGCTTAGAAAGTGCCTGACCAGACCATACTCTTTCACCTCGGGCAGAAACCTCAACTCAGTACAAGCCTGATTAAGTACTAAGGGAGAGCCCTGGTATGGAGCCAATCTGGCCATTCTACAAAGATGGGGTGGAGGTTTTCTTTTTTTTTTTTTTAATTGTCGTTGTTGTTCTGGCATTTGGGGAAATCTCTGTTGAAACACTAGCTGAACACTAGCTGAGTAGCAAAGATTTCAGTGTCCACACATGTCCAGGAAAGCAGTCTTTGCAAAGATAGTTGGGAAAAGTTGCTGAACAAACAGACTACTACAGCCTTAAACAAAATTAAAAAAAAAAAAACAGGAAACCCTGAGGAAGGGAAAGAATCTGATTTCCAGAGTTACTACATTTTAACATTCAAATGTCCTGGTTTCAACAAAAAATTACAAGGCGTATGAAGAACAGACAGAGAGGAACATTCAAAACAGCAAACAAAGTGACAGAAACTATCGCTGTGGAAACCTGGATAATGGACTGTATTAACAATTTCAATGATTTTTGATACTCCAGCATTCTGAGCTCACATCCCAGGTCTCAACCCATTCAGCAGACTCTTTCCCTTTGTCTGAGTTTCAGGCCTCCTCTGATGCACTGAAGTAAACAATATTTAGTACCATTTTGTAATACCCTTGGTAACTCATGCGACTTCCCCACTAGGCATAAACTTTAAAAAAACAACTAGCCAACCATAGACAAACACACCTAACTCTTTAACCGATGGACAGTTTACCCAATAAGCAAGGTAGGCACGAGCTAAATTATGCTTACTTACTAACCTGTAATGTACAATTTCACCTGTTTTTCACCACCTCAAAAATGTGGTGAAACCCATGTGAAATTGTGCACTACAGACTATTAAGCAAACACAACTAAGCCTGTGTGTACCTTGCTTACTGTAAGCCATTGCACATCATGCTTACTGGTTAACTGTCTGATTAAGGCTTGAACTCACCCTGAAATTCCAGTAAAGGCAGTTCTTTCTCTTGCTATTCCCGTTGTGGTTACCCAGCATCTGGTCATGCTCTCATGTGACCCTGTGTGGTATGTTGTCTACCTCTCTGGAAATAGTAAGTATTATAAAACTAGTTACTTTTCATGGCCTCCCTGACTCCTCTTTCATGCATCATACCTGACTTACCATCCCATGAGTCTGTTAGATCAAATGGCTCAGTCACAACCAGAGAGGAGTCAGAAATGCCCTTTTATGATTTCTCTTGCCTTACTAATTGGTAAGATGGTAGAAGCTGCCTGGTAAGACACCATTTCCTACTGACACATTTACACTTTATTGAGCACTGCTTTGTGTCATGTCCTGTGAGAGTTACCAAAGCTTCCCACCTTAAATTGTGGAGCCTACCCTCCTAGAACTCCCCAGACAGTGGTGCCTGAGGTCACTTGTGCGGCAAGAGGAGGGAAATTCATTCCTATAGCTCCTTGCTAAGAGGCTAGAGATCAAGACAATTGACTACTTAATGTGACGTTTCCCCAATTTGGGGAAATGTAGGAGGCACCTGCATGGACCTAAGTGGCCACCCTGGCTATTAGTCACTCAGCCTAACAACTATTCTGCCAGGGGCTGTGCAACCTCTTGCAGTCTGTATGGCATGTCATTCGTAGTGATCTGAGTCTCATCCCATTAGAGTTCCATCTGGTGAGGGGCATCCCCTCTGTGGGAAGTTTCCATGGCATTTTTCCAATGCTGTTGGGGCAAGCACCTGGCTTTTTGCTGCTTCCTCTGCTGCTATCTCTCTTCATACCCAGACCTAGTGGGTTATCAAGGCCCCCAACCATGGAGATAGGTGGCACAAAATTTAATGACGTGAGTAAAGGGGAAAGATCACTTGATTCCGGCTCCTCCAAAACTTCAGAGGAGGCCACACGCTAAATAAATTAAAGAGTCCCACACAATGCACCTTGTTTAGCACCATGGCATATCAATATCCTAAGGCACTCCTCTTATGATCTTGGGAGTTAGCTACCCTCCCCACCAAAGAACCAGCCACAATAGCTCTTACGAATACTGAGCCTGACCCCAGTGAGGTCAACTGGGACACCCTAAAGACAGAAACAGCTGCCTATGAGAGGGGCCATAGGGAGATGCCACACTTCTTTCTAGTAATCACTCAATGATTTAAAAGCTCAGGAGATCAACATTAGAAACCAAGACACTCAACTTTAATAGGCTAGAAACCCAAAACATATTAAACGACATTGTTCAAAAAGATAATGAAAAGTGGAACCTCTTGCTCAAACAGGCTATGCCAGAAAAGAAAGGGTTAAAAAACCCACACAGTAAGAAAAGGCAGCGCCTTAAAAATAAAAGACAGGCAAAAAAAATTTTAAAGCCCAGTGACTGTCTGCAAAAGCCAAAAAAGGGTGGTTTCAATCATCACTCTCCACGCTGCCAATCTGCTACTTATGGCTGTATTGCACAAAAAGGTCTAATCTTCATGGTTATGAGAAAAAACACCCATGGTACCACTGTGGTGCAGCAATGGGTTTAATTCAAACCCAACTTAATTCCAGGGTTCTTAAATCATTCAACCATTGCCACCGGAGAGGTACCTAATCCTGACTATACTGATTTGAGACTCTCTAGAGAAAAAAAATTATACATATGAACACGGTAAAGAAAACACTGCTATAGTATATCCAGTGACAAACAAACAAAAAAAGAAAGGGGGAAAAAAAGAGATCTAGATACAGTGGGAAGAAATCGTGTGTGTGTGTTATTAAATTGAAAGAAAAGTTGATAATTTGATCCAATTTAAAAGCCACAATTAATTAAAATAATTCATACAGCAAAAAGATAAAAGTGTGCTAATTGACTTTGCACCTCTGCCACATAAGTTCTAAATTAACTTTAATATCTGCTAAAACACACCACCATCACTAGTCTGTCAATTTGTTGTACTGTGGTGGCTTGCATGTTGCTGTGATGCTGGAAGCTATGCCAGCAGTATTTCAAATACCAGCAAGGTCACCCATGGTGGACAGGTTTCAGCAGAGCTTCCAAACTAAGACAGACTAAGAAGAAGGACCTGGCAGACTACTTCTGAAAAAATTGACCAGTGAAAACCTTATGAATAGCAGCATAACATTGTCTTATATAGTGCTGGAAGATGAGCCCCTCAGGTTGGAAAGCACCCAAAAATATGAGTGGGGAAGAGCTGCCTCCTCAAAATAGAGTCGACTTTAATGACATGGATGAAGTCAAGTTTTTGGGACTTTCATGTGCTGATGTGGCACGACTCAAAATGAGAAGAAACAGCTACAAATATCCATTAATAATCGAATGGTGGAATGTAAGCAGTATGAATCTAGGAAAATTGGAAGTCATCAAAAATGAAATGGAATGTATAAATATCAATATCCCAGGTACTAGTGAGCTGAAATGGTCTGGTATTGGCCATTTTGAATCAGACAATCATATTGTCTACTAAGCCTAGAATGACAAATTGAAGAGTAACGGCATCACGTTCATAATTAAAAAGAACATTTCAAGATCTATTCTGAAGTACAACACTGTCAGTGATAGGATAATATCCGTATGCCTACAAGGAAAACCAGTTAATACGACTATTATTGAAATTTATGTACCAACCGCTAAGGCCAAAGATGAAGAAATTGAAGATTTTTACCAACTTCTGCAGTCTGAAATTGATCAAACATGCAATCAAGATGCATTGGTAATTACTGGTGATTGGAATACAAAAGTTGGGAACAAAGAAGAAGGATCAGTTGTTGGAAAATATGGCCTTGGTGATAGAAATGATGTCTGAGATCGCATGTTAGAATTTTGCAAGATCAATGACTTCTTCATTGCAAATACTTTTTTTCAACAACATAAACAGCAACTATACACGTGGACCTCGCCAGATGGAATACACAAGAATCAACTACATCTATGGAAAGAGATGACGGAAAAGCTCAATATCATCAGTCAGAACTAGGCCAGAGGCCAACTGCAGAACAAACCATCAATTGAGCATATGCAAGTTCAAGTTGAAGCTGAAGAAAATTAGAACAAGTCCGCGAGGGCCAAAGTACGACCTTGATTATGTCCCATCTGAATTTACAGACCATCTCAAGAAT